TGGGCACAATTTACACAATAATGTTCACTCATTTCAGTATACATTTTATATGACATTACAATACAATTGAATGATATATTAGTTTACATTGCACTATTCATTCATTCATTAAATTTGCATTTATTTACTGATAAAATGTTTTACTGATTCAAACGCCGATATCAATAAATAATGACTTTTGGACATACAGTATGATATTTTTGGTTTATTGAGCAGCTTAATAATCACATTGAAAATCACATAGTCCATTATAAATTTGTATATTTAATATAATAAAATAAATGTCAAAATGGTTTTAAAAGTTATTAAATAACTTTCACATGAGTATATTACTCAAAAACAAGCATTTATAAATAAATATAATAATGTACTTTATTTAAAATATATTTTTGTATGAAAAGAAAATCATATGTATATCAGTAATTTCAAATAATTTTTATTGTAAATATGTAATGTTATTTAAAGTATTTAATTATAAATTTAATTTATTACATAATTGAATTTTATTAATGATTTCTAATTATCTATTTCAGTTTCATAATAAAACTGATACTGTATTAAGTTTAACGTTTAAAATATTTCATATCTTTAGTTTTAAAGTAAATCTTATTTCAATGTGAAAAACTAAAGTGTTATTACCATCAATTAATTATCATGGTCATTAATTATCAAAGAATCAAACAAGACAATATTTTAATTGGATATGAGACAGGCAATTTTTATAGCCATTGAGGTCTGATTCGATGCAAATGTTATAATAATAAAATAATACATTATGATTTTTATAGTGTAACAGAAAACATGAAAGTGAAACCTGAAAATCAGAATGGCAAACAAATATATCATTTAATTTATGTTTAAATAATAAATATAGATATTCTGTTTATAACAAATAATATTTATATTTAAAAATTTATGCATAATTCACTAGATTTATTTATGCATGTAATACATGCACGTATCATTCCTATTATTCAATTTGTTTATTAAATTATCAATATTAGTGATTTATATATTTAATAAAATACAATGTTACGCAAAATATACATGACAGCATCGTACAGTAGGTATATAAATAATAAAAGCAAATTAGTATTTAATCCATTTTGTTATTATATTTACTTTTGTAAGTTCCTTTTAAAACCAAATCTTTCTACTAAATGGAAAGTGAGGTAATAAGTGAAATTGTTATTTAATCCAGATAATAGTGTAAATACTAAAATTTATTGCAAGTAAATTATCCTTGAATAATAGTCAATGCCTCACATGTTCTGATTATGTGAGGGGTGGGCCAACACACATACAGTACATAATAATTGATGAAACACAACATGTATGTAATTTAATATTAGTAAATTTGTAGTTAGGTAACGCAAATAAATTATTTACAAAACCAAATCTGACATTTCATTGAAATAAAGTTTGTTCATTAATTCACTTGTGATTGCATACGAGTGATTAAATTAGATACTTTTTAATAAATCATAAATTATATTGAAATAAACAAACACTACTTTTCACGTTGCACCTTTATCCAAATTAAAAAGTAAGTCCTGGCTAAGATTTATTTACAAATAATATTCTTACAACAAATAAAAGTACTTAAAAATTTTATTTGTTGTCATATATATAATCAATCATTTATATATATATAAATGTTTAGTCCGTATAATTTACTATTTGCTTAGAAATTGAAGCATTACAAATAGTGCTTGATAGTTTATTTGCATTCATTATTATAATCTCTATTATAAATATATTCTGTCAAACAGGGCATCACTCGTTTGAAATCCAATCCTCATTCTGTGAGTTAACTCATATATTATGCCATTTATTAACACAATTGATGGCATATTGTATTGATTTGTTTCAATGATAGCAAACCCTTTGCCATCAATTATTGTGTTGAACTCAAGGAATTGTTTTTCACACAATAATCAACCATTTGTTGTGTGATTGAGAGTTTTGTATGAAAAGAAAATCATATGTATATCAGTAATTTCAAATAATTTTTATTGTAAATATGTAATGTTATTTAAAGTATTTAATTATAAATTTAATTTATTACATAATTGAATTTTATTAATGATTTCTAATTATCATTTCAGTTTCATAATAAAACTGATACTGTATTAAGTTTAACGTTTAAAATATTTAATATTAATTATCAAAGAATCAAACAAGACAAGATTTTAATTGGATATGAGACAGGCAATTTTTATAGCCATTGAGGTCTGATTCGATGCAAATGTTATAATAATAAAATAATACATTATGACATTATAGTGTAACAGAAACATGAAAGTGAAACCTGAAAATCAGAATGGCAAACAAATATATCATTTAATTTATGTTTAAATAATAAATATAGATATTCTGTTTATAACAAATAATATTTATATTTAAAAATTCTATGCATAATTCACTAGATTTATCTATGCATGTAATACATGCACGTATCATTCCTATTATTCAATTTGTTTATTAAATTATTAGTGATTTATATATTTAATAAAATACAATGTTACGCAAAATATACATGACAGCATCGTACAGTAGGTATATAAATAATAAAAGCAAATTAGTATTTAATCCATTTTGTTATCATATTTACTTTTGTAAGTTCCTTTTAAACCCAAATTTTTCTACTAAATAGAAAGTGAGGTAATAAGTGAAATTGTTATTTAATCCAGGTAATAGTGTAAATACTAAAATTTATTGCAAGTAAATTATCCTTGAATAATAGTCAATGTTCTGATTATGTGAGGGGTGGGCCAACACACACATACAGTACATAATAATTGATGAAACACAACATGTATGTAATTTAATATTAGTAAATTTGTAGTTAGGTAACGCAAATAAATTATTTACAAAACCAAATCTGACATTTCATTGAAATAAAGTTTGCTCATTAATTCACTTGTGATTGCATACGAGTGATTAAATTAGATACTTTTTAATAAATCATAAATTATATTGAAATAAACAAACACAACTTCTCACGTTGCACCTTTATCCAAATTAAAAAGTAAGTCCCGGCTAAGATTTATTTACCAATAATATTCTTACAAATAAAAATACTTAAAAATTTTATTAGTTGTCATATAAATAATCAATCATTTATATATATATAAATGTTTAGTCCGTATAATTGACTATTTGCTTAGAAATTGAAGCATTGCGAGAACAAATAGTGCTTGATAGTTTATTTGCATTCATTATTATAATCTCTATTATAAATATATTCTGTCAAACAGGGCATCACTCGTTTGAAATCCAATCCTCATTCTGTAAGTTAACTCATATATTATGCCATTTATGTTGTGTTAACTACCGTATAACATAACTAAACAAAGTTACTATCGTTTGGGAAACGGTAGTTAATAACACAACTTGAGTTCCTTAACAAAAAGTGTGTTATTAGTTGGTAAACAACACACTAACTCTCATGCCATACAATAGGAGGGTAGGATGCAATACAATGAAGTAGAAAAATGCAATACATGTGACTTCGGAGGAGGAGAGAGAAAATTGATTTAAAACTTTTGAGAGAAAAGCGGAAACTGACGGCACTATACTTCAGATGTGACTAAGCCATATCTAAACAACGAAATTTGATTTTGTAAGTTGTTTACAACTTGAGAGACAACTCAACATATTCAGTTAACATTTGTTTAATTAAAAACAATATAAGATAACTTATCTCTCACTTAAGACAGCGAAATTCTCTGTTGAGATGATTTGATGCAATTCTTGGAAATATTCTACATTTTGTGTTTGAATAACAAAATTGAAATCTGTTGAATAGAATATAAAAAATACATAAAACTAAACAAAAAACAGTTTCAATATTTGTGAGGAATGTCTTTGAAAAATGTGAATTAATTCACATAAAGCGATAACTCATTGAATTGAATACAAATACTGTATAACACATTTCAAATGCATTTGTTAACTTTAAAAAAGTATTTATTATATCATTCATAGCACACTTTTATATCACGCCTTACAGTCATTTAAGTGTAATTCTGTACTGAATTTATATGGATTGACAGTAGAGAAAGGTATTTGTACTGTCAGTTAAGTTATTCATATAAATAATATTAAAAAAAGTATTATATGTTTAAATATAATAACATTTTATTATATGGATATGCTTAATAAAAATATTTTTGACTCATAAGTAAATAAAAGTTATATACTGTATATCAATTGTATACAAAAAGACAATCGACTTTTGTTTATATTTTATATTTTATTTCTATTTTAATTGCATATTGTGTCTATATTATAAGTAAATGTTTTTATGCCTTTTTTATTTAGTATTGGATTTAATTTCTTTATAAGTATATTAAACTTGATTTTTATATATTTATATAAAAACTTCTAAAATAGGAATAAAAATATTTTGACATAAACTTGCAATTCTTGGAAAACCATTTATGTATTAAGAATTTTATATTTAAACCAATTCTAATAGGAGATATAATTTTCAAAAGCACTACCAGTGTGCCTGCTGGCAATTAATATCGCAAACAAGTCACAAGAATATAAAAACTTTTAACGATTATGTATAAAAAATTGTAACGGGAAATAATTATACCCTGAATCTCTGACTTATGAGCTATAAAGCAGACATTTCTAAACAATTCATTATGTTTTTGTTATTTTAGTAATAGTTTTGTCTATTTTGTAATGAAAACGACTAAATGTTTTTCTGATGAATTGGTTTTGTATGTGAGCGCAGGCTCTCTGGTATCGAGCATTTTCTAAACAATTCATTATGTTTTTGTTATTTTAGTAATAGTTTTGTCTATTTTGTAATGAAAACGACTAAATGTTTTTCTGATGAATTGGTTTTCATACACTCGCGTCCGAGAGACCATAGCTCGTTATCCACGTGTCTTAGAAGTGCAAAGGTTAGTAAGACATATATACACAGAGTTTCGAAGAGCCATAGACGGCAAGGGTGAGAGTGACATACATACTATGTATGTATGTGTGGTGTGTCTGAGGCCTGTATTATCGGTGTCTCGTCTATGGGCTCCGCACACGACTCGTAGGGAATCGCTCTCACAGTTTGCAATACTTGCGAGAAATACAGAGAAATACAATTTTCTTTGACATCAATATTTGTACGGTTTTTGTGTTGGAAATGAGTTTCTATTTGAAGAACAGATATTATTAAACATTTTCACGCAATTTATCTCAAACATACCAATGACTAATGTTTTTGACTTAACTTTATCTTCATATTATTTGCACAGTTTTCCATCACAAAAATATGTCGATTTCATTATGTGCTAAAAAATATTTTATTAATCATGTTATTTATATATTTCGTGTTCACTCGTGTATATAATCGTTAACTCTATTAACAATACATATATAATAAATATGAGAGAATTTTATAATCTTTCGGTATAGATTTGTTGCTTTAAACTAAAACATTCAACAAATGTTGAACTCTCTGTTGAGTTGTATAAGTCAATTGTAAACAAATTAATTTTTGTTATATTCTATTGAATAGAGAGTGAATTCTGTACGAAATTCTCTGTTGAGATGATTTGATGCAATTCTTGGAAATATTCTACATTTTGTGTTTGAATAACAAAATTGAAATCTGTTGAATAAAATATAAAAAATACATAAAACTAAACACAAAACAGTTTCAATATTTGTGAGGAATGTCTTTTAAAAATGTGAATTTATTCACATAAAGCGATAACTCATTGAATTGAATACAAATACTGTATAACACATTTCAAATGCATTTGTTAACTTTAAAAAGTATTTATTATATCATTCATAGCACACTTTTATATCACGCCTTACAGTCATTTAAATGTAATTCTGTACTGAATTTATATGGATTGACAGTAGAGAAAGGTATTTGTACTGTCAGTTAAGTTATTCATATAAATAATATTAAAAAAAAGTATTATATGTTTAAATATAATAACATTTTATTATATGGATATGCTTAATAAAAATATTTTTCACTCGTAAGTAAATAAAAGTTATATACTGTATATCAATTGCGTACAAAAAGACAATCGACTTTTGTTTATATTTTATTTTTTATTTCTATTTTAATTGCATTTTGTGTCTATATTATAAGTAAATGTTTTTATGCCTTTTTTATTTAGTATTGGATTTAATTTCTTTATAAGTATATTAAACCTGATTTTTATATATTTATATAAAAACTTCTAAAATAGGAATAAAACTATTTTGACATAAACTCGAAATTCTCGGGAAACCATTTATGTATTAAGAATTTTATATTTAAACCAATTTAATAGGAGATATAATTTTCAAAAGCACTACCAGTGTGCCTGCTGGCAATTAATATCGCAAACAAGTCACAAGAATATAAAAAGTTTTAACGATTATGTATAAATAATTGTAACGTTGCAAATAATTATACCCTGAATCTCTGACTTATGAGCTATAAAGGAGACGTTTCTAAACAATTCATTATGTTTTTGTTATTTTAGTAATAGTTTTGTCTATTTTGTAATGAAAACGACTAAATGTTTTTCTGATGAATTGGTTTTGTATGTGAGCGCAGGCTCTCTGGTATCGAGCANAATTGGTTTTGTATGTGAGCGCAGGCTCTCTGGTATCGAGCAATAGGTGCACAGAATCTTCACGTTTCCAATCATTCTGTATATATGTGTCTCAAAGCTTCTCGGTATCTGCCGTTCCCACTCTCACTGTATGTATGGTCTCACTGTATGTATGTATGTATGGTATGTGTGGTGTGTCTGAGGCCTGTATTATCGGTGTCTCGTCTATGGGCTCCGCACACGACTCGTAGGGAATCGCTCTCACAGTTTGCAATACTTGCGAGAAATACAGTGAAATACAATTTTCTTTGACATCAATATTTGTACGGTTTTTGTGTTGGAAATGAATTTCTATTTGAAGAACAGATATTATTAAACATTTTCACGCAATTTATCTCAAACATACGAATGACTAATGTTTTTGACTTAACTTTATCTTCATATTATTTGCACAGTTTTCCATCACAAAAATATGTGGATTTCATTATGTGCTAAAAAATATTTTATTAATCATGTTATTTATATATTTCGTGTTCACTCGTGTATATAATCGTTAACTCTATTAACAATACATATATAATAAATATGAGAGAATTTTCTAATCTGATTTCATTATGTGCTAAAAAATATTTTATTAATCATGTTATTTATATATTTCGTGTTCACTCGTGTATATAATCGTTAACTCTATTAACAATACATATATAATAAATATGAGAGAATTTTATAATCATTAGTTTCTATGTTTGAAAAATTGTTGAAAAAGTTTGTACTCATCTCATCATAAATGCGACAAATATTGAAAAAGTGTTCAAATGGTCTGTTGACAATATTTTGGTTGCAAACCATTTATTTTCACTCATTCACTGCTCAATCGGTAAGAAATAAAAATACAATTAATATTTGTATATAAATTGTAGTCTTTTTCGGGGTAATTACTTTAATTGTCATATGAATCGCTATATTCTTAACATATATACAAAAAGTTATTTTTAAAAACATAAATATAAATATCATTCAACAGAATATCGTTTCTATTGATTGTGTAATTCTTCTAAATATATAGCGAAATGTTCAACAGTTTTGAATGTATTTGAACTTCAAAAGAGATGCTTTCTGTCAGAAAAAGTTGTCATAATTGGGTTAAAATAGCATTAGCTTTATTCCTAACGATTAACACCGTATTAAAGATTTTTACGACCATTTCACTGATGTTTAAATTTAGTGACAAATAATTATGACTCTATTATTGTCGCTAAGTAAATACAGTAAATTAACACGATTTATGTCAGTGTTGTTTTTTGTACTGTGTGTGTGAATATAAACGCTAATCTCATTGTGTAATGAAATTTATTGATTAAATTAAAAAGTTTGGATCCGATGGACGGAGATTTTGTCGCACAGAATGGGGAGTACGTTTGCCATATAACGATTATGTGCTGGATACCTGTGCCAAATGCTACAACTATATGCCCGACACAGCCTTCAAAGATGATAGTAAATTCATGTAAGATTTTATGCTATTATTTAATTGAATATGCAGTAGATTTGGTATAAACTTATACATTTTTGATTTTTGTGTAAATAGTTTTACTAAATACCAATGCATACAGTATAGTAAACTTAGTGCAATTTTTGTAATTACTTTATTACATTTATTATTAATGACAAACAGCTTTTAAATAAGTCTCAATACCGTAATCAAATAGTAAATCAATAAAAGTTGTGCACATTTTGAACAACAACAACAAAATTTTCAGTGATTTCTGCGTTAGTCTGAAGCCATGAATGCATTTTTCTAATACTATTAAAGTGAGTGACTTATAAACATTACGTTTACCCATATATTTCTGTGTTATATGATATAAGCCCTGAAAACTTTCGCCCACAGATGTGTTGGACAACCGACACAATCACATACTACAAGCGAAACATAACTTTCATTTCAATACTTGATTTCTTTTCAGTAAACATATATTTTTCTAAAATTCAATGAATTTTTATCGTATGTATGCACAAGAATTTTGAAAGTCATATTAAATTTTTGGAGACATGTCTGCAAACTGTTTGAGCCAACAATATATGAATTGATATTATAAACTTTAAAACTGATATTATTTAAAACATGTTTTTGTATGCAAACAATTGATATTATTTAGACTTTATAACTTTGCTCATGAATTCTGTACAATATGTTCATTTTATACAAATTCTGAGTGTACTATAAAAGTATGTTTAAAAATCAGTTATATTACTTTTATAATAGAATAAACAATTTTCTTTTATTTATTTAATTGTTAACAAGCATTTTTAGAATAATAATTGACTTTTTAATATACTTATTATTATCATTTTCCCATGATAACATTAATTTTATGTAAAATATATTAAAGTTTAATTAATTTGTATTTATAAAGTAATAATATTTAATATTCTTAAGATTTATGATTAAATTTCAAAAATAATGAACAATTATTAAAAGTAACATACCTTTGTTATTTAAAAAATTATTTTCATGTTGTAAGGAATTGCATAGGTCATATTTCACTATACAGTATGTGGTTAATATAATGATTATAAGTCTTAAAGAATGATATAATACCGAAAATAATTAAATATTAATATATTAAATTAGATATTAGACATATATTAAATTTCAAATACTTTTACTACATGAACAACGTTATCAGTAATAACAAAATAGATTAAATATTATATATCATAAACCCCAGTTAAATAATAATTATAATACTGTACTGTATAAAGTAGAGTATTGAATATTGTATTCATAATAGATCGTTTATTTTGACAAAAAAAATGTTCTTGTTCTTTTATGTTCTTGAAATGTATTTTTATTTTTATTGTAGTTTTCGGTGTAATGAGTTTCCCTGAATTCCTATCCGGTCCGGTATATTCCGGTACATATAGAAAGTAGGTCATATTTGCTAAAATATCAATATTTTTAAGCAATTTATGCTTATCTTAGATAATGTTTTTAATAAAAGCGAACAATTCTTTAACATAACATGAATTTCATTAAATTACATTTTAAAAATACATTAAAGTCTATGTTATGAAAGTATATGCGAATTGATTCTGGTATTTGAAAATGCAAGAATTCATGTTCCAGATGGTAACAAAAATATTATCTTGGTCTTGTCTATTCCGTTATAACAATAGAAAAGTTTGCAACATGAGATTCTTTGTTAGGCATCTAATTCATAATAATGTCAAAGAAATAATTGAAATGTTTGTTACTATTGTACAAGTATGGGAATCTACAAATATAGCTCATTATTATTATTATCTATGAATTGTAAGTACGAATTGAGTACTGACTGTTTACTAGTAACTAAATATTAGTATTATTTATATGTTTCTATTATAATACATTTCACACTTCATGTCTGGAAATGTAGTGCAAAATAAAATTAAATATTTTATTACCAATTCTTGAGTGCAATCCAACATTTTATAGCTATTGATTGCAATCCAACAAAAATGTGGACACTATTTATAATATAAGCTTAATATTACTAATGAGTCAAACAGATTAACAATGTTTTATTTTTAAAGTGACATTTAAAACTTTGTTTCCTAAGTTTTTCTCATTAATGAGATATTTATTTATTAAAATCATTTTTATACTAATTAAATAGTTATTAAATAAGTATTTTTTTTATGTTTTAATAATTAACAATCATATTATGAAATACGAAACACATTGTAACTGCAATTCAGTATAAGATTGTATTCAAACTTTGTAAACTTTTAACGAAATGCTAATAATATCCGAAAGAATCATAAATCATAAGACCTCTCATCAGTTGTTCATAACATTCAAACAAAAGCTTAATTGTGCTGAACATCTGAACACTAGTGTTAATGT